GGATGGCTGTGATCTTCAGGTCTCAGGCAGCACTGCATTAAAAACGTGATTCCAAAACCACTGTCTGTGAACACAGTTCATCACTGCCTCCGCAAATACAAGTTAAAACTTTACCATCCAAAGAAGAAACCAGATATAAACAGGATCCAGAAACGCCGCCGCCTTCCCTGGGCTGAGCTCATTTAAGTTGGATTGAAGTGATAAGGAAAAGTGTCCTGTGGTCCGACGAATCAAAATTTGAAATTGTTTTGGGAAATCATGGACGCTGTGTCCTCCAGGCTAAAGAGGAGAGGGACCATGGCTTGTTATCAGCATACAGTTCAAAAGCCAACTTCCGTGATGATATGGAGGGGGGGGGGGGCATTAGTGCACATGGCATGGCTCACTGGCACATCTGTGAAGGCTCCATTAACGCTGAATGACATATTCAGGTTTTAGAGCAACATATGCTGCCATCCAGACGACGTCTTTTTCAAGGAAGGCCTTGATAATTTCAGCAAAACAATGTCAAACCACATTTTGCATGTATTACAGCAGCATTGCTCCGTAGTAAAAGAGTCCAGTGCTAAACTGACCTGCCTGCAGTCCAGACCTGTCACCATTGATAACATTTGGCACATTATGAAATGAAAAATACAACAAATGAGCCCCTGAACTGAAGAGCAGCTGAAATCCTGTATCAAACAAGAACAGAAAACATTTCACTTTCTAAACTACAGCAGTGTCTCCTCAGTTCCCAAACGCTTACAGAGTGTTGTTAAAGAAGAGGTGATGAAACACAGTGGGAAACAGGCCACGTTTTTGGGATGTGTTGCTGGCATTAAATTCAGAAAGGAAATATATTTTTCAAAAAAAACAATAAAATTTTTCAGCTTTAACATTTAATATGTTGTCTGTGTACTATTTTCAATTAAATATGGGGTTCAAATGATTCTCACATCACTGCGTTCTGTTTATATTTACATTTTACAACTTTTTTGGAAATAGGGTTATAGGTAAGTATATATAAACACAGCTTCCCAGCTGTAACATTAGCTATATGGCTTCCTTATGTGCTTACCAGCTCACATGAGAAACATTTCAAACAGCCCACCCTCATGTCTCCACCCTAAAGTACCTGCAGTCTTTCAAAAGTCCCTCCCACCTTCAAGATACATCATCAGAAGGGGTTTTCCTTTAAACCTTTAAACCAGAAAATCTCACTCTAGAGATAACTGCAGCGCCTCTGTAGGATTGCTTGTTTACAGCAAGGGTTGCTTTTTTCACTTGGGCCTTATAGAATAGTAGCATTCCTTATTTATTTAATCCCCCCTTGGAATCTCTTATTCATCTGGCTTACTTAATATTTTTCCTTCCAAACACCACAAAGTAAACTCATAATTCACCGTTTCCCACCACGAAATGCCACACAGATCCACGTCTCCCACAGAGTTGGAAACAGAAGTCAGCTTTTTTGTCATTACCTCTCCTTCACACCGCCTCCTCCTTTCCACACACACACGAGACGACATTGCTTTGCCCTTCTCAGGTCGTGAGAAGCTGGTTTGGGCAGAGTTGTTGCAGAATAAGCCAAATGCCTATCAGTGCTGGGCTGGGTGTGGGTTCGTTCTGGAAGGAAAGATAACAGCATCTGTGGCCAAGATGGTTTGACTGGCAGCCGCCTCTACGTGCCTGTTCGAAATCATTGTTTGGCTGAAGGGAACTGGAGCTGAGATTTTTGCAGACCACAGAGTTTTGACCACCAGTGAACGGCTACATAAGGAAAACTGTAGTGCTATTTTGAAATTGCACCCCAAAAATTCACTCCGTTACCATCCCCCCCCCCTCTTACTTCAAATGTGGCTGATCAGCCAGGATAGTTTTGTGTCTGAAGTTTCTTTAGTGTTGCACTTGAGCAACGAGGCTAATGTAGTGTTTTAAACTGCGCCTAAATCATTACACTGTGTCGGGTTGTCAAGTAATCTCAAACAGAGCGATGTTCAAAAGTTTGGAATCAATGTTTTAATAAGTTAAAATCGATGTAATTGCAGACAGGTGTAGAAATCAATGCTAATATGCAGTTTGATGGGTTTTAAATAATTACTAGGACGCTTTGAAAAATAATTAAGATGTTTTATATCTGGCCACATTAATGATCAGAGCTATAGATGATTCTGAAAAGGTTAAAAAAGATTTACAGCATCAAAAATCATCAAATCTTAACACAGAAAACTGGACATGAATTACTGTGAACAGAGGTACAGTTTAGTAATAACATTAAAAACTTTCTACACTTATTGTCCACTTTATCAGCTCCACTGACCGCATAGTTTCACTCTGTAGTTCTACAGTTACAGACTGTAGTCCATCTGTTTCTCTGCATACTTTGTTGGTCAGGACCCCCACAAAGCAAGTGTTATTTGGGTGGAGGGTCTTTCTCAGCACTGCGGTGACACTGACGTGGTGGTGTGTTAGCATTTTTTCAACATTATGACGAATGATTTAAAGCTATTGAACAGTAGTGTAGACTTGCTTATGCAGTTCCCGACACGGTTTGATCTATGAAAATGGACAAAAGTACGTCATACAGCTGAAAACAGTAGCAGTCATTCTGAATGCTGAACTTTATCTGTACTTTTGTTCATTTTTATAGAAAACAGTGTGTCAAACAGCACCAGAAACCACTGAGACAGGCCTGTTTGTGATTACTTAACCTCCAAGGCAAAGGTGTGGTGATTTATTGGTGGCTATAAGCTTTGTTAGCCTCAAAGCTCCAGTGCAAAACTAAAGAAGCTTTAGACGCCAAACGTCTCACCAATCTCGGCTGATCAGCTACATTTGGGGCTGGTCTGTGTAAATTCGATTTCTGGGTAACGTCTTGCTTTAAGGAGAGAAGCCAGACATCCAGAACCTGATAATAAGAAACAGAAATGAGCAGTGGTGGTTGATACCTTATAGATACTGGAGTCGCATATTTTTACATCTGTTTATGCAAATACCGTCCAACAGTTTACATAGCAGCCTTGGAGCTGTTTTACGTGCACATTTTACGAGCTATAAATCCAGCTGTGCGCACAGTTTAAATCAGACAGTAAGAGGTGATAAAACAGGCAGGGATAAGAGCTCCAACTGAAGAAGCTGCAGCAGCTCTGCTTCTGGAAAGTGTTGGTATAGTGAGGAGGAATGCAGTATTGGACTTCTAAGAGTTTTCAGTGGTGAGATTCGTTTAATTTACTTGTTGGAATGACTGAGTAAGACTGCTGGTTACAGTTGATATTGATCTTGTTGTAAACAGGTGTAGTTCATCCACTTCAGATTCACCCACATTATTTATTTTTTTACTTTGTGCTTGTAAATATGATCGTATATATGTATGTATTCATAGGCATAAAGAGATATGTTTAAAAATGGAATCGATAGAGAAAAACGGGTGAATAACATTACTCTGAAGCGAAGGCTGTTACAGTTTTGAGGCAGTAAAAAGTGAAGAAGCATCATTGAGGTTTAATTTTGGCTGATTCCTCTCTGCAAACCATCTTCAGCTCCTCAAGATTTCAATGATCCCCTTTAATAGACTCACAATTTAAAAACTCTCCATAATTTTTCCCTGGGAGTCGTGTCGGGAGATCGGTAGCACCTCACCTTCTTTTTTAGAAATCAGTCTTGAGTTACTGTGGCTGTATGTTTGGGTTCGTTGTCTCCCTGAAATGTAGATCCCCAGACTCGGTTTCTTGGCCAGCGAAATGAAATTCTCCTGTAACGTCTCCAGACTCATCACTCTGTTCATGTTTTCTTCGATGACATGTGAAACCCCAGCGCAGTGTGAAGAAAAGCCGTCCCATTTAATGATGTTCCCGCCTTCGTACTTCACTGTGAGTGTGGTATTCCTGGGATCTTACAGGCAATCTTTCTTTCTTAAACATGATCAGCTGAATCGCTGCCAAAGAGCTTTTGCTTCATCTGATCAGAGTGAAGTGTTCCAGAACAGTTGAGTGATCTAAATCTTGCATGCCACAAATGTCTGGGGATGACCAGCTCTGGTTCTTCTTGCATATTCTTGAACCAGTCGTACTGATAGGGATGTTTAAGGTCTTTGTTAGGGCTCTGTAGACGCTTCACGTCAAGTCGAGTGGTTTTTATTGTCATTCCTCAACTTTAATACACTCCTGGGCAAAAAAAGGCAATATAATTTGGATTTTCCTGATGGTTCTGGAGTCCAGATTTAAGCCCTATAGAGATGATTTGGTCTCACATTAAACACAAACCAGCTCAGCAGTGTTTTCAGCTGTTTGAAGCCGTCAATGCTGAGTGGATCAATACTGACTCTTCTCTCTGTAAAAGACTGTCTGCAAATTTACACACTAAACTCCAACACTTACAGAAATCAAAGGGAAAACTCTCCCTTGTTAAGCTACTTTATCTATTTGTTTAATGATTTGTTATTAAAAGTTGAATATTTTTTTGCACAGGAGTGTCCATTGAAATGAAACATTGTTCTTCAGGCCACATGGTGCAACACACAACAGTAGCACATTACACAGGACAGCATAGACTGCAGATAAGCGAGAGCGTGAAATGAGTGCAGACAACAAATATTCAGAACAATAAATACACGACAATAAATACGAGACATGACTTATGATTACAAAGTTAAAAGGCATTATGTGCATAGATTTGCGTAGATTCGGAGTGGATGGACTAAATAACAAAAGCAAAAAGTGTCTGGATGCTCTTCTTACTGTATATAAACGCTTTACCTCTACTGTACTTACAGGTGCACAAGGACATCAGTACAAAAACAAGACCTGGGACTGATTTCTTGGACACAGAACTAAACAGAACGTTTGAATGATGCACTTTTATCTGTGAAAAAGGACAAAAGTACGTATAGCTTAAAACAGTAGCAATCATCTGGAATTCTGAACTTTGTCTGTTCCATTTGTATAGTAAACAGTGTGTCAAACAGCACCAGAAACCACTTCATCAGGTCTGTTTGTGATTACTTAACCTCCGAGGTGAAGGTGTGGTGATTTTTGGTGGCTATAAGCTTCCATTACTTTCTACATCAGCCTCAAAGCTCCAGTGCAAAACTAAAGAAGCTTTATGTAGTTTAGGCTGAGGTGCCTGTAAAGTCTAGAACACAGAACCTGTGTGTGTAAACAGCCAGAGTGGAGAGTGAAGGGCAGAACACGAGCGGATGTTGTATTAAATGCCTCAGGGTGGACAGGAATCACTGGCTGTCTAAACTATCGGGTGACAGTGACCCAGGCAAGCCCGAAAAGCATTGAGTGGGCGTGGCCCAGCGAGAAACCCCGCCCACTGGTGCTAGTGGACGGGGAAAGGGTGGGCGTGTCCGAAACTCCAAAAGTTCCCTCCCTGTTCTAAATGAAACCACACTGGAATGCATGCTCGCTCGCTCACTCGCTCTCTCTCTCTCTCTCACACTCATATACACAAGCACACACACGCACGTCCTTTCTCTCACACTCTCTACACAAGTTGATCAAGTCCCTCTCTCTCCTTCCTGTTTTTCCTGAGTGCCTGGGCTTGAGGGAGGAAAGTTCAAGCTAAAATAAGGACCTAAAAAAGGAGCTAAAATAAGGACCTAAAACAAGAAGCTCAAACAAAGATAGCACAGTAGCACATGTTTCACTTCTGACCGAGCTTAAACCCCCGAGAGGAGCCGACAGACGCTTTTTGGTGGCCTCTTGGAGGGCAGGAGGTGGGGGGAGGTGAAGGAAAACCCCCCCCCCACACACTCATATCCAGTGACCAGAGTGTTTCCTCTGGTCTGTTGGACCTGATATGACACAGTCGGCCTCGGTCTGATGGCTCCTGTTATCAGGATATCACAATAGACTGTTGAAGACAGGCGTTCTAACTCAGACTGAGCTGAAGACTGGCTGCTGGTTGGTATGGAAGCTCTAAGGGAATCTTTTCTCCATTTAACCTTTCAGATGTCGTCCTACAAGCGGGCGACGTTAGATGAAGAGGACCTGATTGACACCACCTCGGACGGAGTGTATCACGCCTCGACCGTGCAGGTAAGACTGTACTTCCTTTTTCTGCTTGTGTGTTTTGTCTTCTATCACAGATAGTAGAGCATCGACCCTCATTAAGGGTCCACCTGTATAATTAAATTGCTGAGATGTGAACAAAGTCAAAGTCATTCACAGTGGTTTAATATGAAATCATTCATTGCAGTGAAGCCTAAAATGGTGGTGATGGTAACCAGGAGAGAACACATCTAAAATGAGCAGTGAACCTACATGAGTTTAATATTGACAATGGTAAAGTAGTTTTAAATCCAATAATCATAACTTTTCTTTACTATTTTCCTTCCTGCAACAGCTCCCTCTTCCTTACGCGCCTCTCTGCTGTAAAAAGTATGTTTTAAGCCAAAATCGTATCTATAAACTGCCATAAATCATCATCAGGCTACATATTTGTAACAATTTCATGGAATAACTGTGTGATGCAGCTTTTCTATGTGTTGGTGTAAATAAAAAAAAAACTAAAAAGTGACGGGTATAACCATTCATAAAGCATAATAAACAAACGTAATAAAATTAGTAATTAAAATGTTATCGACTAGAATAACTGAGTAAAATCTAGACTCATTTATGCTTCCTTCGGATGATAAGCTTGAACCTTACAATGCTCTGCATGTGCCTTTATATCCTGATCGTAAAAATCCATATTTGGATGGATTTTTCTATTACAAAACTATTGTAAAACAGCGTCTCAGGCAGCAGGCAAAGTATTCATGTGTCATAACCTTCCGTGAGGTAGATTTTACAGGCATTAAATGCTTTGGATGCTTCTGACTCGGTACGTTCCTCCACGTTGATGCCTTTAACATCAAATGACTCTGAATGACTTTTTCGTTTCTTTATGCAGAAAATGTTAAAAAATCAAGTCTAACCAAAAACGTTTATTGCAGTACATTCTGCAGGAAAACCCGTTCTTAATAACCGTCCTTTATGCTGAACTGCTTTTGATCACATTACGACTGTCCTGGTTCAGTTGATCAAACCTTCTCGATTATCTGAGTGGAGGGTAAGAAGGTAAAGAGAGGAGGAGGTACAGTAAAACTCTACTTTAACACACACAGCTGCTGCATACATTCAGACAAACAGACATTACTGCCCTTTATAATTAAAAAAGTTAGAGTTAGTGTTTCCTCTGGGTGTTTGGCCTGTTCTGTAGGTCTTATTCCATAAGCATTGAGCTTGACTAGGCAGCAAAGGGCTGATTGCTGTGAAGATTAGCTGTCGCCACCATGAAGGTGACGCATTTTTGTGCTATTTCCTGATGGCTTTACGCGTCTGCGCTGGATTAGAAGCACAAAATGAAACTTTTCTTTTTGTTTTCATACCTAGAAAAGCCTTCATTTTAAAGTCCAGATAGAATACATTCCTTTTATTTTAAAGGTCTCATGTTTCCTTTGTTTCAAATGCATAAAAATGCTTTTTTTGAATAAACAAATACAAAACATATGGAAACATAGTTCATTTAAAAAAATGTATATTCACAGGAGCCCATTTTGAATTCATTGTTTTTATGATGTCATTTACACTTATCCACCTATTCAGCCTACAGCAGTTTAGCCCCGCCCACTCACACTGAAGTTATAAGAGGTGTTTCAGCCTGGAGTGCTTTTTGAAAGAGCGGCCAATCAGAACAGAGCGCATTTACATATATCGGTCTTACAGTCACTGTAATAAAAGCAGTCTCTTGGACAAAAAGGATAAAGAGAGGTTGTAAAAACGGACATATATATAATGAATTATGGTGTTATGTTATAAGAGGATTTCAGGGGAAAAATGTGTCAGAAAAATGTAGGATTCATGCAGATTTAAAGTGTCGCCTTATTTAAATAAAGTGCATCAGTTAAGGCGTCGGATTAATTAGTTAGATTAGCTCACTGGGAAGCAAGGTAGCTCATTAACAAATTTGCAGCAACAAAAAGACCAAAAAATGTCCAAAACCCATGAAATAGTTATTTGTGATTAGTATAAACGGTTCCAGCTGTCTCATGGGCTGATGGGAAATATAGCTGGTTCAAAGCAGATACTTTAACGTCCTTCATTGTGTGCCGTCGTTTCTCTCACCCTGGTCTTAATCTCTTAATGAAGTATTCATTTGTGTGAACTTTTATTAGATCATATCTGGGTTAGAGAGAATAGCAGGTTCTCATGGTGTCTTTTGTGGTTATCAGCTGTAATGGATCAGGTTCGTATCAGTAAGCAGGCTGTGCACTGTGTAACACTTATTATTGTTTTGCTGTATTAAATGTAAATACATAATAACATGATTCAGTACATTGTCAGTTACATTTACATTCAGGTTACAGGTTTTGTTTGTTTCGATGGGAGCAAATTAGAAACATGATGAAAAGGTAACGGATGGTTTTCTCTACTACACAAGACTGAATGCATGAAAGGACCTTCTGCCCAGGGTTGTGTAGTGATGGAGTGCATAATACCAAACTCTTAAGCTTTTATTGGTCTGAAATCAGTAAATTAGCAAGACCTAAACACAAAGTCAGTTAGAATGGAGAAGAAATTCCACCATTTATTTTTTCACATTTTCAGCTCAGTCTGAGACGTAAACAGTCATTCGGAGAGGTTTGATGTAAAATGGTTCATTTTCTGTACAGTGATTGTGACGGAAACAGGGGTTGTGAAGTCTTCAGTGCAAATATGCTATAAAATGAACAGTGAACCTGCACACGTCTTCTGGGTTTATGTTGATGTTGATGACGGGACTGATGTTGCTTTACCTCTCTGACACAAATGGATGTAAAAATATCCAATTTAGGCCAAAAGCTTAACTCAAAACTGAAGCACTCAACTCTTCAGACGTCTGGTTCCCTTCACCGTGAACAATTCTAAAATTTCTCTAGAATGAAAATCTCGTTTCACATTAAATCACTCTGAATGACTGTTTACAATTGACAATTTAATTATGCAGAAAATTAGAAAAGTTGCTAGAATTCCACTTAAGGCCAAATCAACACATTTAGCCAGACCTTTTATTCAATGGCAACAAAAAATAAGCATAAAATCAGTAAATCTTAAAGATTTCCTCATGCAGAAAATCGGTGGAATTCCCCTTCAAGGAGACAAAAAAGTAGGTAGGATAATTGAATAATTTGGCTCTAAATTTCAGTAAATTCTATGAAAGCTACTTGTTGGTAGGGCACAGCTGTTTGACCGCCAGTCAGATTACATATTTTGCTGATTTTCTAAATGAAAATAAGTCGACACGCCCTCTACAGGGAACAGACTTACGTTCACTAATTTTCCCTAAAATTTAGTGCATGATTTCCATTTATTTGCTGAATTTATCATAAAAAATATAACATAAAATATAAATTTCATGACTTTTAAACAGGCCACATTTATGTGTTTTCCCCCAGTTTGTTAAATATCAACAGATATTGTTCATTAAGGGGTTCAGAAGTTGTTCTCTGTTGAGGAGTTCAATTATTTGTACTCAGAAAATCAATAAAACTTCAGCTCTATGAATACTTTTATTAAAACATTACATGGAGTAGTTTTGATTTAGACATCAGCTTTACTGTTAATATTTATCTTCACATTTTACACAAACGCCTGACCAACACACTGTAAACGTGCAGCCCTTTTGTACAAACTCGTTGTTACTGTGGCCGTTAAAACACACAGTACTGAAAGGGGAATTCCACTGATTTTTCACAAATTTTGTATAATTCAGTCATCGAGATGTAAACAAGTCAACAGTGTCATTATGAGTGGTTTGATGAGAAATAATTTATTGTAAAGAAACTTACCAACTCAGATGTCTTTACAGTGGTGGTGATAGGAACCAGGGGTCGCCATGACTACAACACAAATATAGACATTTTATTTACTATCCAGAACCACCAGTGAACCTACACGAGTCTTCTGAGTTTATATGGAATGTTGATGATGGAAAATAGTGAGAAATATGAAAAACTACATTTTCTTTGGGGACTACTTAGTACTAATAAACAGGTTTTAGGCCAAATTCTTTCCTCAAAACTATCATAAAACAGTGTCTCAGTCATCAGGCAGTGAATTCATAACCATATAATGTACTGAATTCCTGTGAGGGAGCTTTTAGAGGTGGACACCAAACCACTCTGAGTGAGTCTGTTTACATCTTAAATATTTAATTATGCACAATTAGTGGAATTCCCCTTTAAGAGGATGATACATGTGGACAGTAGAGGAGCACATGCTGCTTTGTTTATTCTATTGGAATGAATAGGCGATGATCATATGTATGTTAGTGCGAGCGTCCAGCTGCTCGTCCACTATGACCGTGAACTGGTACAACACACTTTAGGTGGATATTACATGTGGCGCTGCACGGCTACAACAGATAAAAAGCTCTTTTTAACCTGATCCCCCCAGGTCAAACGCTTCTCCACTTTCTGTGGTTAATTCTTGTCAAATAATCACAAACTTGCACCAGGCGCACATTTTACTGCAGGGTTTAATAACGAAGCATTCGCTCTGTAACTGCCCACTGAGAACAAGTACTGACCCAAGCATGAACCAGCTATATTTCCCATCAGCCCACGAGACAGCTGGAACCGTTTATACTAATCACAAATAACTATTTCATGGGTTTTGGACATTTTTTGGTCTTTTTGTTGCTGCAAATTTGTTAATGAGCTACCTTGCTTTCCAGTGAGCTAATCTTATTGGCAGATACACCGTATGGACAAAAGTATTGGGACACCTACAGGAGCTTTTATGACTCCCATTCTAAATCCATAGGCATTAATATGGATCTGGTCCCCCTTTGCAGCTCTAACAGCTTCCACTCTTCTGGGAAGCTCCTACAAGATGTTGGAGAGAGTCTGTGGGAATTTGTGTCCATTCATCCAGAAGAGCATTTGTGAGGTCAGACACCGATGTTGGATGAGAGGGTCTGGCTCACAATCTCCGTTCTGGTTCATCCCAAAGGTGTTCAGTGGGGTTGAGGTCAGGGCTCTGTGAGGGCCAGTCAAGTTCTTCCACACCAAACT